CTCAGACTGCGATGCCGAAAAGAAGAATCTCTAGCTTGGCTTTGATCCAAGTGTTTGTGTGTCAAGGTGACTAATACATGACTAAGGGGATAAACCCAGAGGTCAAGCCATCGATCTGATGTTGAATTGGCAAGCCAATATCAACATTATCTCTCCTACCACCTGCGTGACCTAGAGATTTAACGCCCCAGCATCTCCGTGTCTCGTCGACTGTTAGAATCTCCCTCGTGGCTTCGGCACTTTGTCCGATTCTATCAATCTTTTTGACATGCCGGGGGCTAATCTCTTTCCGCTTCGCGGTGGCTCCGCTTGGCCATGTCGTGTTCCAACCCTCAAAAATCAGAAATTGGAAAAATACGAGCGCAAAATAAATTGGAAAAAAATTGGAAAACTGCGCTGGTACCCCCAAGTCCTATACTAGTCAAGAGATCGAATGGTAGGATCAAATAGTTGAGTTCAGTCGTCTTGCTTCTGTATTGGACTCAAAGGCCAACCCTGACCTCTGCAGACAGTGAAAATAGTTTGAGAACATATTAAAACTGGGGGTCATATGTTTTCCTGTATACAAAGGCCATCGTGTTGCTAATCTGAATCACACATTCAATACCATACAAAGAATGGACCTTGTGGAAAAGAGGAAGCTACACTAAGGAGTGTGGCAATCTTTGTAGGGGTTGTCCTGTCTTCGTTTGGTTAAGAGTCATTTGCAGAGTCTTTGGCTATTCTTTTAGGAAAGTTTAAAAAATGCTAACAAGAAAAGAGCAAAAAAAATCACGTAAAGCTCGCAGGCAGAGGGAAGGAAAATAGTTGGCGAGAAGAGCAAAAGGAGATGTGTACAACACGAGCTATTCCGGGCTATTATTATTTATTTGTACCACAAAGTGGATGTTGGTAGCGTGTTGATCAGGAGTGCCTTGCCTTTTAAACTCAAATCTCTGTGGCGCCAAGCAGCGATGATATTGTTAATCGTTTGAATTTTTGCTTCCCAGTTTCTCTGGGTACAATCCACATTTCCAAAATACTGGCCAAGGATCTTATCGGGAATAAAGTCATTGTACCAATCAAATCCAAATAATTGATCGGTGAGCTGTGCGAAGGCGCAACGCCATAAGCCCTTGCATTTTCCTTTGTTGATCTTGGCGCCGGAAGCGCGTTTATATAGGTCAAAGGTGTTGAAGGTTTTAATAATGGACTGTTCGTCAGTCAACAACAAGTCGTGCCATCAGCAAATTCAGAGAGCTTCATCTCCCCGTCCGACTCCGATGGTCGAAGGCCATGGATCCTTGGATTTTGCTGAATACTATAGGCCATTTTTTCCGCTGTTAATACATAGAGGGGCTTAGATAGTGGGTAACCCTGTCGGAGACCCCGCTCTAATCCAATAAAGGATGTAAGCCAACCATTTGTTCTTACTGAGCTTGATACGGAATTGTAGATAACCTAAATCCATTGCACAAAGTCTGGGCCAAATTCAAGGCGCTGCAATGTTTTAAAAAGAAAATCATGCGAGACGTGATCAAAAGCCTTTAATTGATCCACGCTTATGAGCACGAGTGGAATGTTATTGACATTTGCATAAGTAATCACATCATGTAATGGCCTCGTGTTGTCATTAATAGTCCTTCCTTTAATCGATGCCGTTTGGTCAGTATGTACTATAAGAGGAAGAACTTGTTGGAGCCTATTAGCGAACGCTTTCGTTAAGATTTTGTAGTCAGTCGTAAGAAGCGTAATCGGTCTCCAGGTTTTGAGCAAAGTCCGATCCCCTTTCTTGAACAGTAGCGAAATAACTCCTCGGCGTTGCTAGACGAAGAGGCGTCCTGATCTGAATGCATAATTGTAAACGTGCGTTAATCTAGGGCCAAAAAGGGGCTAAAAATGTTTGTAAAAATTGGTTGTCAGTCCATTTATTGCAGGCGATTTATCAAGTTCCATTGCGGTGACTGCTTTACGCAATTCCTCCGTCAGTTCTCCCTCACACGAATTACGCGCGTCCTCCGGCAAATCCGGAATCGTAGCATTGAAGAAGGTCTCCTGTGCATTTTGATCACATTGCTCCGCAGAATAAAGTTTTTTAGAGAAAGCACGAGTCTCAGAAAGTAGATCTCTTGTCTCGGTGACGGTATCTAGATTATCTTTAGTCAGCACGCTAATTGTCTGATTCGCTTTACGACTCTTCTCCAAAGAAAAAAAATAACGCGTGCTTTTTTCTCCTTCCTCCATAAATTGCGCTTTTGCATGTATTTTAGTAGCCTCCAGGTCTTTCAAATCTAACTGCTTAAGCTTTTCTTTCGCAAGGAGGTATTCCTCTATATCCGGTAACGTAATTCTTCGCTCGCTCTTACAACTGTACTATATTATTTTCTAACTGAGACCGTTCGTGGCGAAGCAACCTACCCCTAATCTTTGCCTGTCTATTCAGAAAGTTAATCGGGTTTTAGGTCGCTGTAAGAGGGACTTCAGGCTCAAATCCGATGAAACTCAACAAAATTAATCCACGAGACATGATTAGTAAAAATACATTCAGCAAAAGCACATGGTTTGTTCAATCCCATGATTCCACGAAAACAATAGGTACGCTAGGCGTGCGCACATGCATAACACCCTCCCCCCTGCTGACCAGTGAATGTAATACTAACAAATGGAACTTAAGACTGGTCAACATCGATCCCTACGATCAAGGTAGAAAAAACGAGTCCGGAACAATGTTCAGTGTTCCAGTGTCATATAAAACAGGTGTCGCACTAAATAAGCGCGTCAATCATAGCTCGTCTTCTCCTCTCTGATTCTATCGCTGCGGCTCTTCTAGGGTTTTTCCTTGGCTGTGTTAGGCGTCGATATACTTCATCGGCATTGTCTACTGTAGGACTTTCATGACTGTCTGCGACAATGCGCTCATTCTCACTTCTTATCTCCAACGGGTACAACAGTTGAATTGGACGTCTCAGTTTTCCCGACTTTACTGAGGTCGAATTTCAACTGGTCTCCAACAAAGTCCCACTGAACTCCTAGACCTATCTCTACAGCTTATCATCAGGTTGTGTGTCTCCAAGTGACATCTCGGTGTAGGATTGCTCATCCTCAAGGACCAACTTAGAGGTTGGATCGCTAACTGCGGTTGGTTTAAGGTTCGCTTTATCAGACGCATCTTCTTTCGTGGTGGGTGGGGCAGGGTAAACACCTTGCAATCTGGTTTCATTCTCTTCTATGCGGTTCCTCAAATCGGCTGAATTGATCACAAATTTCCTCAAATTGAAGCCACCCTCTGCTAGCTTTAGCCTTAGGAATACCTTTTCAATGTCCCCTACAAAGGCCTTTCTGTGTTTTCGGAATCTAAGGATGATGTCTACAATTTTCTGGGAGAGAGATGGGCCAGTAAACAGACAGGCATTCAATGAGGTGCCACCTACAGGACGCATCATAAACAATTTTTTTTCAGTCACGGTCTCGCACTTGTTGGAGGCATGAGGCTGTTTACAATAGGTACATGTGGGAGAGGTTCGTGAGGTGGACGTGAGAGCTGAGGCCGTAGGGGGATCATCCCAAGGCTGATCATTTGTCCGGTGTGGTGTATTTGTAGTTGGACTGTAAGTATTCTGGGATTTGGCGGCTTTTTTACGTGCCTCAAGCTCTTGGTGCAGCACCTTCAATAACAAATCTAGCTCCCCGTCTCCCCCTTTGATTTCCCTGCACACAATCAGGGGTAGGTCTTGGGGTACCTTATTCATCAAGACTGACGATAGTAGACTACCATATGACTCAGAAGACACTGCAAAAGTGCCTTAAGTTCTCTAACATGTACTTCCACTAGATCACAGATTTTCCTTAGACCCTTCAAATCATAGTTGGAAGAGACAGGAACCATGTTGAGAAGACTCTCCATATGTTTACTGATGATCATTTGCTTATTTCCACATCTGCTCTTCAAGATAGCAATGGCTTCCTTATAGTTCGCGGTAGTTAAGGATAATCCTGAACTGCTTCACAAGCTGTTTTCTCCAAGAGGGAGTTTAAATAATGAAACTTATCAATGGTGGCGATATTAGTGTTTTCATAGATAGAGGCCTCAAAGGAGTCCTAGAATGTACACCACTTCGTAATGTCTCTGTCAAACTTTTTTAAGCTCAACTTTGGGAGTTTCACTCGAGGGCTAGATACAAACTCTGCGCTTACCGTTTCTGTTTGTCCGTTTTCAGAGGTCGGCTCGTCTGAAGTAGAAAGGATAGGTCTCATTCTAGGTGTTGAAACGGCGGGAAACACCGCACCCAGTCGAGCGATAACAAAATCCACCTTGTCTTGAAAAAGGTCGGTTGTCTCAATCTCCTCCACGATAATGATTCCTCCTTCTGATAATGATTCGAGGATTTCCTGGTCAAGGCCTTGCAAGAGTTCGAGTCACTCATTTAAGGTGGTTTTCTGATGAAGGATCACTGGTCGCTGTTCAGACACACTAGACGGGTTTTCGTGAATGAATTGTAGAACTTCGTTGGCAGTTTCCATCAAACGCTCGGTGGATCTTCTATATGCGGTTCGAGTCTGACGTTTTCTTGTAATTTCCGTCGAGATATTGCTTGGCTTTCGCCTCCTTCGGCTTCGGTAGGCGCAGAAATGGCTGTAGACTTTCCTTTCTTTCCCATGTTTACAAAGGAGATCAAATTCGCTCGGAGATTCAAACACAAAACTTTCCAGAATTGTACAAAATAATGGGCTTTCTTCGAAGATTTGCCGATCCATTTAGGCTCGAAGGACAATATTCAGAAAGGTAATCGGGTGTTAGGTCGCTTTAAGAAGGACTTTAGGCTCAAATCTGATGAAACTCAACAAAATTTAATCCACGAGACATGATCAGTAAAATACATTCAGCAAAAGCACATGATTTGTTCAATCCCATGATTCTACGAAAACAATAGGCACGCTAGGCGTGCGCACATGCCTACAACGTTCCGATTTCTGCCTGATGGCTTTAATCTTAAAGTTTTGTTTTCCTTTATCCCACCATGTTAGAGGATCAGGAAAGTTTTTAAATTTTTCCTTGCAACCTGTCCAAAACTGCTCAATTTTCGAGTGGAAAACAACGTCGCTAAGCAAATCATTATTAAAATGCCAATAGCCAGGCCGCGGTGAACCTTATCAAAATCAATTTCCAAAGTTATACAATCATGATCAGAATGTGCGTAAGGCTTAATCTCCACAGCCGTAATAAACTGGTTCAAGGCGCGACTAGTAAGGAAAAAATCAGTTCTTGTCGGAATGAACAAATGGTTAGACGTCATACGGCCAGTCCAAGTATAATTCCGCTCATCCTTACGCTGTTCCCTCCAAATATCACACAGATCATAACGCTCATAAAACGGACGCAGAAAATAAGTTGCTGCTTGTCGAGAGTTTGGATCTCGACCAAGTTTATCTAGTCTGTTGTCCATAATAGAGTTGAAATCACCTCCAAATATGGTTTCGTTTTCCCTTGCAATAAAGAGTTCTAAAATCAAGAAAAACGTCCGCCGTTCAACGTCGGTGTTGGGAGGGTAAACATTCACTAAGTTTATCGTTTGTTCATCCATTTAAATTACAAGATTCAAAACACGACCTTCACTGTCTCTTTTTGTTTCTTTCACACTGTAATCTAGGCGCGAGCTTATTAAAATCTCAGCGCCCCTCGCGGAATCTTTCCCGTGGGTGCAGGAAACGTGACATTGCCAGTGTGTAGTTCAATTTCCATGTCAGCTGTCCAATGAGTTTCTTGCAAAAATATAATATCAAATCTGCTGCGGGTGAAAAAAGAAAAAGCTGTTTTTCGTCGATCCGCAGATCTAAGCCCTTGGCAGTTTATGCTTGCAACAATCGTCATTAGGGTTGTAATATATAATAAGGATATAATCAACCAAGCCATTATGAGTCTTAATAAAAATGTTCATGTTGTTTTTTGCCAGCCATTGATTTATCTCGTTGTTTTCCACTATTTTTCACATTCGGGACAGGATTCAACCGCTGTCGGCGAGTTGGCGCTTTGCTATCAGAATCTGAGGAATCCACCGCGAATTGCCTCTTAAATCCTTGCGCTCGTTTTTCGATTTCCATGATCAGCAATATCATTACTAGACTGTCCATTAATATTATTCTCTCTAATTTCTTCATTCGAATTCGCATTACCTGCATCGTTGGTAGGCGTAAGGACAGGCATATTCTCCGCTGGTGTAGTATTTTCGGAATTAGTCGAAGTTTCATTTTGATCTGCGGCCATCCGTTGTTTTACCTCATCACGGTTGTTCCTTCGATCGCAATTATAGGACATTTGCCTTTTTCC